CTGTTGTAGAATGGGTCTGACATCAGGGTGGGGGTATGACAGAAAAAACTGGATAAATTATGTATATTGTATTGAAAACAGATGAGGGAAAGAACAGATTAGAAGTGATATATGATTGAGTATTATGGTTAGCCCAGGAATCCAGAATTAAGGTTGCATAGAGAAGTGTACTGGGGTGGGGGGTGGGGGGAAGGGACGTGGGAATTGTATACTAATGAAGGAATTTTTTCCCTTTTTTTTTTCTTTCTCTTCAGAGGGGGAAGCGAGCTGGTGGGGAGGGGTGGGAAGGGAGAAAATTGTGGCAATGACTGAATGGAAATCCAAAACTTCTGTAAAAAAAAAAACAAACCTATAAAAAAAAAGACGTCATTTTGAGCTATGATATGACCATCCAAGTATACAATGTGTACCCCATGGGAGTTGACTTAAACTTGAGGGATGGTCACACTAGTCCCGTTTACATTTTCAGCTTCATATCTCACTATTCAAATTTCTCACACTATGTCCCAGACACACTGAACTAGCAATTCCAAGAACACATCATGTTCTCTCACCTCTAGGCTTTTCCTTATCCTGTTCAAGCAAACAAAAAGGTTAATTTAAATTTTTCAGATTATAAAAGAACAACAGGTCAATTCTCATGCATTGATAAAGTCAACAAATAATTATTAAGAGCCTACTATGAATCAGTCGCGTTCTAAACATAGTGGACATGTTGCTGTTGTGTATCACTGAGTCGGAACTGACTCATACCTGACCTTCCAGCAGGTTTTCAGAGGCAGTATATTGCACGAAAGGAGATAGTCCATCTTTTTCCCATGAAGCAACTGGTAGAATTGAACCTTGTGCCTTTGGGAATGCAGCACAGATTTTTACCACTAGGCCGTCATGCATTAATAAACTCAATAAAGAATTATCAAGAGCCTATTATATACATGACAAGTTATAAACATGACAGACATGGAACAAAAAAACTATCAGAAAGTAACTATTATTGACAAAATTAAAATGGAATAATATAAGTGACTGGGTGGCTACTTAAGATTGTGTAATCAAGGAAGTGCCTTCTGTGAAAGTCAAACTGAGACAACAATGCAAAGTAAGGTAGCCATGTGGATAGCAAAGGAAAAAATATTTCAATGAACAATGCATCTCAAAATAATGCCTTGAAAAGGGATATGTTTCAGAAATATAAAGATGATCAAATGGAAAAGACAGAGAAAAAGTAGTGAGATTAAAGGAAAAGACAGCAGAGTTTGTAAAACAGGATAAGGACCTTGAATGTTTTGTGGTGGGTTTTGGGTTTTTTTAATTGTAAATGAGATAGGAAGTCACTGAAAATTGCTAGGTTAAAAAACCACACAACCTAATGTTTCTAAAATAAAAAAATTCTAAGTGCTTTTCAAGTAGAATAGTATAAGGAGAAAGGAATGAAAACAGCTAAATAACTGTATTGTATACAAATGTTCATATCATCATTATTCATAATAGCCAAAAAGGGGGAAATCATTTAAATGTCCATCAACTGATGAATGGAAAAGTGGGACAGGGTATTTCTATACAATGGGATATTATTCAATCATAAGAAGGAAGTTCTGACCTAACAGCCAGAAATGAAAGAAGCTCAACTTAAAATTCATTTAATGCCAAAAAATTTTAACATATTCACGGTAAACAAAGAGAAAAATAAAGAGGAACAGAAAAAGGCTAAATTTAATAAGCATAGTTCAGAAAGACAATCCAATAAAAGAATAATTAGTGTCTTTCTACAAAAAACTACTACAATCAGCAAATAACTGTCATGGACTGAATGGATTACTCTCAAAATATATGTCAACCTCAAAAGGTTATGATTATCAGGGTTTGGCAGTTACGCATAACGTGATGTAGAAGTCATGCAAAGATGTAAGGACTCTCTATAACATGGTCTGTTGTCATCAGTCAATCTGTTGTAAGCATATTGGAAGTACAGCAATACCATTTTTCAAATATTAGGTAGGCCTGAGCCAATGACAGAAGCAGAGTTTCCTTGGGTATGTCCTGCATAACCTTTTGTCTACTAGAGTTAAAAGGAAAATTAAGAAAACAGAGAAGGAGGGATCTGACTACCATCAAAAAAGAACTGGAGATCACCAAGGTACACATGAAGATCTCCACAGATGTTTAAAGGAGAAAAGGGCCTTCCTGATGACACAATGGGCATGAGATAAAGCAGTCCACAAGGACTAGGACCCAGAATTTGGGCTCCTAACTTGTAGAGGATTAATGTTTGTTATAGCCATTCACTTGTGACATTTACAATAAAGTAGTACTTGGTAACCAAGATAAATAGCAAAAAAGGTTTTTTGAGATATAATGTAAGAAATTTTCCATAAAAGGAAGAAGAATTACATTTTCTTATCCTTGATAAAGAGCACAATATTTAACAGGGGGGAAAATTAATGCAGAATAACCAAAACTCAATAAACAATTCCCAAATGTTGCTGAAGACGGCATATGTCAAACTTTAGTAGACAAGGCAAAACAATCCATGTAGGTAGACTCTAGGTAGTCTTTAACTTTTCAAAAACAATATTTCACTCACCAACAGAATAGTATCTGAGGGAAAGAAAATATGATTTAAGAGTATTTATACCTAGTAGGTTGTCTTCAGAACTCAGTTAACATGGTAACTAGAAAGGGGTGTGTGGGGGGGTGTATGTTGGGGAGAGATTAACCATGAAATCCAGTCAACTGAGAGAGGTTAATAATAATATGTAGCAAAGAAAAAAGAAAAGTTATGAAAAAAGAAATAGTGGTTGACATGAAATCAGCCTACATGCAGATCTAAATATTAAAAACCTTAGGTAAAATTCTCAAGGTAAATATGATAGCAGGGTATAAATCCATCTTCTATAAAATAAACATAATAAATAAAGCAGAAAAAATAACACACTTAGCCTTTTAATATTTATTATAATTATTTTTCATTTTAGAACAAATATTTAGAAAATACCTGTCATTTAATGAAAAAAACATTTAAATGACATTCAGAAATTGTTTAAATTATCACTTTAATTTCTATTTGTTAAATTAAAATTAAATTCAAATCGTTTCTAAAAAATGTGTTAACAATTCTATTCTTATAAAAGTTGTTTGTTGTATATTATTTATTGAGGTCAAATACTCCTAAGACCTTTGAAACCTAGAAATCATATTAATCAGCTTCCAGAATACAATGGCAGAACATAAGAAAAACATCCCCAATATAAATTAATAAATTAGAAAGACAAGGAGAGTCTCAGGTTTCAAGCTGATACTAGACTAAAATTCAGTATCGTAAATTTCATTATGTATCAAGGACTCGCATTGAATTATAATTTCAGCATGAATTCACATTAATTGAAAACATCTCAAAGGCACTTCATCCAGTCAAGGTTACCAGAGGTCAAGACTTCAACATATGCCCCCAATTAAAGCCATTGTTATTATTGTTCTATGCTGTCACTCACAGAAACTCTAAGAACAACAGATGTGAACTCCATCCTGTCCTGTGCTTTCCTTACTTGCTCTCACATGTTATGTTGTAGCTGTATACTGTTAAGTAGGAACCAACTCATAGCTGACCCTCCAGCAGGTTTTCAGAGGCAGTTAATCATGAGAGGAGATTGCCCATCTTTCTCCTGCAGAGCAGCCAGTGGATTTTAAACAAGTCTTCCCGGCTACAGCGCAGCTACTTGCCACTTGGTCATCAGAGCTTCCTGACATACTTGAACCCACTGCTGCAGTCACAGTGTCAATCCATCTCACTGGGGGG